GGGGGGGGGGGGGTATTATAGTGTCCCGACTTGTATTTTTGTATAAATGGCAACCCTATGTTAACGCCCTCTGATAGCGCCCTCTTAACGAATAATAAACCGGCGTTCCCCACCCCTTTGCTCGCAGGCCTTCAAAATAAAACCAGTCGGGGCGAACCGAGATCAGTAGAATCATTTTGGCCGTGAGCATTCGAGGGATCGATCGGTTTTTCTCCGATCATTGTCGAGAGCGTTGGGTCATTTGTGATTTTTCAATCGAGTTTAATCTTAAATTTTTTTATTTTATGAATTTCTATCCGATTTACTAAAACATTTTTGAATAATAATTATTTACTTATCTGGCGGACTTTTTCAGCAGATAGTTATTTATAACTATTACAGAAAACTGCAGCAATCATCAGTAAGTAACATAACACTTTGTTATTTGTACAATTTTTAACTATTATTAAGCTTATGATTTTTTATTATTATCTTAATGTCGATTGAGTTTTAAATTGTTAGTTGTCAACAATAATATTATTTGTTTAGGACAATCTAATCGACTGTACTGATAACTCTTAAATCATGGGTATTTTACTGTATCAATTTAAACGTATAATACATATAATATCTTGAAGGATAATAAATTAATAAATATATGACAACTGTATATTATGCAAAGGACACAGAGTCCATAATATGGTAATAGATTTCATTACATTTAATATAATTTAATCTTACGAATTACTAAATTAAAGGACGGTAACAACAGGCTACAATAATACATGCATTAAATTTAATTTTCTTAAAAAATATACTTCAGTGTTTTATACAAAGTTAGTATTTCTCATTAACAATATTTTATTATTTATTTACTTATATATTCTTAAACAAAACAAAAATCATGGATGTGAGGAGTAACTTTAAAAATGAAAATAATATTATGCTGTAATTGTAAACAGATCGAATGAAATGCATCATTTACAAAAATATATAATAGATGTATAAAAACAAAAATAAAGACCACTTCAACAAGTTTCAAAACTGTTCTTAGATTTACGATTTATAAAACATAGATAACCGTATTAGAATGTTGAAATAAGTGAATTTAATCTTTTTTATTTTATTTCGATTCATGGATTGTGACAAGTTTGTTAAAATTAATGTTTGAGAATTTACATAATTCAATATTGCTACCTATATTAATGCAGATTCTTAGTCCAAATGATTTTTCACAGTTTATTATAATATTGAAATGTGAAAACTCATGTGATAAAAAAAAAAAAAACAATTCTAAATATTATATTACACTTTGTTACAGATATGCTGAAACTATTCTTCGTAATCGGTGAGTACCATTTTATTAAAATATATCAATGCCCTATTATAAATTTTATAAAACTATAACACAACCATATATGGTCGAGTTTGTGATTTGACTTTCGTCCGTTCATATAATGTTATGTTATTATACTTGTTAAAAATACACCGTTTTCTTTATACAATTGATATTAATAATCGGTTTTTTCTTTCTCTGTCCACAGCTACTTTTATGACGTTGGCTCAATCCCAGATTGCGGTCGAATGGATCTGCAAAGATACCAATTCAATGGGAAATTGCACTACCATACCTAAGCTTACAGACTTGCTCCAAATTATCTCTGATAATAGCGATAATTACGAATTTACAGACTCACACTATTGCCCGTCAGTATATTGTTATGTTTGAATAGTAATAAGAGTAATACCTAGTACCTATGTAAAATGTTATTCAAAAAATCCAATTATGGTGAATTTATCGAAAGAAATACAACTCGAGTTAGTTAAGTTATAAGTTAGTAGTTAGGTTAATGTAAATATCTTTTAAAGATTCAGCATCGTTGAACGGTACGCCAAGTGTATGAAGTCGTACGTGGATAGCTGTAAGCCGTATATGGTCGACGAGGTACAAAATATTTTCCTCAATTATATGCCAAAGATTGAGGATGCCGAAACTCTGTGCACCAAAGGCCGTGCTTACAAAAAGGGTAAGTTTTCACGTTGAAAATAATATAGTGGAAGAAATAAGAACAATAGAAAAAACTCGAAAATATTAATCTTTTATAATGTATTGTCGTAATACAGATAGGTATATTGAAAATTATGTACAATTATAAAGTACAATATTTGCATTGTTGTGTTGTCGTTGTACCTAAATATAAAAATATGTTAGAAATGTATTATAGATGCAGTGGTCGTCAAACGGGGAAATCGTGTGGAGGGGGTTAGATCCCTCATGAACTTTTTGTCACTGTTTCAGTCACTTTCAGAGCTTTTAACCATAAGATATATTTTTTTTAAATCAATTAGTGCATGTTAAAAAATCAGCCATACCCCCTCCTTGTAAAAATAATTTGACTGCCACTGTATAGAAGCAAGGTCTTCGGCCTATTTTAATGACAGGTGACAGCTCAACTATAGATGTTCAGACTATGGTCGTAGTCGTATAAAAACGCCGCCCCCTCCTTCTGGCTCAACTTATTTACTTCATTATAGTTATACACTGACCACGGATGGTAGTATGAAACAATTAACAGGTGTGATAATATGATTATTATTGGTACCTAACAAACTAAACTAACTTATTAAACAACAGTTTGACCGAATGGTTCTATCGTTGGTACAATATAATGTATAAATGTAATATAAGACGTATAATAGCTCACGTTTCATAATAATGATTCGTCGACGGAGTTTTCATAATATTTCCGTTGTATATATCTAAGATAAAAAAAAAATGATAAACAGTAGCCCCCATCTTACATAATATTACCTTATCACGAGTGCTTAATTAAATTTCACTATTTCGTTATCAGAATTCAGAGAACACTCAACATGTACGAAAGCATTCTTAACAGCCGACGACGACTGGGAGCAATATCTTCAAATTATAATTTGGAAATACGGACAGTCAATAGATGACATGGACGCCATTCAGCGATGCAAGTGAGTGATAGTGCATTCTATATAATATTTTAATAACATATTAAAAGAATACAGGTGGCACTTATTTTGTCACTCAAAACTCATGTTTTCATTGGAACGTATTCTGTTGATTTATCGGCATTGATTTTTGACAGAATGGTCAGCATTTTTTGGCAAGTGACGTCCACGAACATTCGTAAAAAATGTGGAGCGAAAACCGAAAAGTTTTCCCGCCAATTACTCAGCAACATGTGGCCCTTAACGTTGTATACGGTCAGTATATCTATAACTATAAGTAATAATAATTTCTATTAATTAGGTACTTACATCCGAATTCATTGTTTTCAAACCATGTGTAACATAAACATATATTATAATATATACTTAAATGTGTATTATATATATACCTTAATATATACATACAAACATTTATACATTTATTTACTTTTTTCTGGCTACCTAATTGCAAGAAGTGCGAAATAAGTCCCATTCTTTTTAAACATAAAATTTGATCTTTGTGTTCTATAAAAATATATGATAACAATATTCGTGGCTTGGCGTGGCGCGTTGGCTGCTACGGCCACAACTACTAGCCCCCGGATGGGTGACCATCCGGGTTTGTAGTAGTTAAAAACCTTGCCACACATACACGTGTTTGCTACCTACTATAACAACCCTAACAATCATAAAAAACAACCTACGGTACCAACCTCACCCCTACTACAGTTCATAACCCCTATAACAGCTAATAGCCTTATTCACCAGGCTTGAATGAAAAAAAAAAAAAAAATATGGGTATTCAGGATTGCATATTGTGTGATACATTACTCTATTATTATATCATTATTACTTATTGTTTATCCTTTAATATTTATTAGAATTCGTACACTTATACTATTATGAATTGCTCGATAGTTATATTGTGCAATAAACCGTATTGTTTGTATTGTTTGTATCCATCGTGTGAGCCGTGTGAGAAGTTTATTAAGATTGATCATCTCGATTTTTTCTTATTGAACACAGGTTTCTTTCACTGATCGGTGGCAGACGACCGATCGATTAAATCAGTTAGATGTGAGATGTATTGGGTAGGTTTACTCTTTATTTTTTGTTAGGTATGTCAGGTAATCATTTTTTTTTTACCAGTGGTACAGATTATAAAGAGAGTATAGTAAATATTTTATATTAAAATTGTTTTAGTTCATTACTATATGATAAAATAATACCAATCATTTTTCAATGTATTAGTTTGCACAAAAACAGTGTTAAGTGATAAGCGATAACTAAATTATGCCATGTGATTAGGATGTTTATGATCTTAAAGTATCAAAAAAAAAAATACATGCAAATATACCCAACAAATACTAGAATAAGCGTTTAAAGCCTTAAAACAGTTAATTATGATATAATTACCATAATCCTACGACCTTAGTACTTAAACCATTTTATTTCATTTTCAGAAACTATGCAGTCAAGTGGCAGCTGCTGGACCATGAGGCGATGTACGCAGTCCAAATCAATTATTTCGAAGTATCTATGATGGATGCAAGCCACAGCTTTTCAAGTTTATATAATCACATTATCACTTATCAATTTTCAAATTATTAACTCGAATTTAATTGTACTTTTTTTTTCAACTTACTTTTTTTCCATTTTAATAAAATTACATAATGCGTTTGAAAATATACTGACTAAGATACATTATTATTATCTTGATTACATAGAATTGTACACATAAGATAAATATCGATTGCAGTCAATTCAACATATATAATTTGTCTTTAAATGCCTACATATAACTAGCCGTTATGAATCGATCTGATGATCATACAAATATGTAATAAGGTGGTTCTTTTAAAGTTATATATTTTTCTTGAAAAAAAGTAATTTTATTGGGAATATTATTTTATAAGCGATTTTAAATAATGGAAAAATAACATTTTTTTTTTATTGATAGCATACGTTTTTATGTGTTTATTCCAATGTATATCATACTTGGCTCAGGGATATCCTGAAAAATTTTAATCTACTACAAATCTGCTCGTACCTTTAAGTACCTTAAAATAAAATAAAATGAAATTACCATATTTTTTAGAAATAACATTTTTATACATTTACTTAGTGCAATTTTAAGACATTTTATGCTTAGAAATCTGAAACCAAAAATGTATGCTGTTATTAAAAAAAATTGAATAAAATATTACTCTAAAAAATATTAATACATAATTTGTTTATAAGGTTAATAGGACTTAAGATAAAATGTTTTAAAAAACCATATGTGTGCAAACTTATATTTGAAACACCAATGTAATTATTAACTTTGAACTTGAAAATTTGTACTTTACCGATACAAAAATAATGCATTCATTTTTATTTGAGACTATTGCAGTTTTAACTTTTAAAACAATACAATTAGTATAAATCGGAATTAGCACCAGTTGCGGTTTCCCAATAAAAACTTTGTCATGATAGTTTTAAATTGAGTAAATAATATTCAATACCAATACAATTCATATGATTTTATGGGTACTGAATGAATGAATTGCTCCTAACGGCTGATATATTATTAATATTTTAATCTATAAATGCTATATACAGAACATCATAATTCATAATTATAACTTAACTTGTCGAATATTATCAGATTCGTTATTGTAAAACTATAAAGTAATAGGCGAGTACTTAGATAATACAAAATGCTTTAGAGTACCTTTGTTTAAGTACAATGAGTGATGGACACTCAATGGAGAACCTAGGTAAAAACATCCATGATAAAAATGTCTACGTACTAACATAAACTTCTTGTTTAGATTTGTAAAAATTATAAATAAACAGATTAAAAATATTTTTATATACATATTTCCTTTAACTAAAAATGTATTTACTACATTGATTTTATTTTATTTTAAATTATTATTATTTTATTTTATTTTTTTGAAAGTCATATAATACTATTAAAACTATTAACTTACTATTGTTAAATATTGTCTTTACACATATTATAAGGTATTACTTGATTTTAATTTATAGCATTCAAAATTAAACTTAAAAAAAAAATCAAATTGCTTATAGAAGAACATAATATTATTAACTTAAAATTGATAACGTCAATGATAAACGTTTCAAAAAAATTTCAATAATTCTTTCATTATTGGTGTATTCCTTGTATGTTTTTTTAATTAATTCTGCATAATATAAACATACATTTTTTTCTGAGGTTTTTAAATATCTTTCTGCCCTATTTTAACTTTGTCTACTCGAAACGCATTCCTTTTTTACGAGTAACTATATAGTTGGATGAAAAAAATAAACTAATTTAGAAAATTAGTGGGATAAGACTTACGAATTTTGGTGTTCAGCATATTATGTTGTATGCATACTCTATTAATTTTTCATCAAAACAACCGTAGTGACTGATAAAAATTAAGGTACTTCTAAAGTGGTTATATTTGAAACAAGTAAAGATGTTTGAATTGGTAAACAAGCTAGTCTACTTTGCAAAATATTTTATATATTTTATATCTTTTAATATATTCAATATTAAAACTTGAAAAATGTATAAAATGTAAAATATTTATAATCGTCAAGAATTTGCTAAAATTGGAAAAGTTCTCCGATCGATGCAAAGTAAATTTGTTTATCAATTCAATTATCCTTACATTTTTTAAATTGAACGACTATTTCGCGGCCATAAATTGGTTTTGAATAATTTGATCTAATGACTCAATACGAGTGATTGGTGGGGAGTATACACATACTAATGATCATTTACTACACAGAAAGACTAGCAGAGACAACCAGGAACGAGAGAATTGCCTATATCAAATCCCATGATTTGAATTTTGATGAAAACGACTTAAGAGGACTCTATACCCTCATGTGTTGTCTTCGTCTTAAAAGAGCGTAATATATCAAATTTACGTTCAGCAGATCGCATTTAGCTCAGTTAGCTAAAAAAGTAGAGTGAATTGACCTCTTATTAAAATTAAAGGTAAGATTATTACGGAGGGCTTCTCGTGGGTTTTTTATTATATTTTAATTTTAAAGAGAGTTATTGATGAGTATTTAAAAATTGTACAAGCTCTTAAGAGCCTTTGCCGTGAAACCGACGAATTTGTCTGCCTATATAATTTGCCTATTCATATCGCCGTGTGTTGAAAATTGTAAAAGCGAAACATTTTTTGAACATAAATAGTACTAATTCATGAGTAGCCGTTGAATTAATTCATTGCTTAGAATATTATCATCATTTTTTAGTTCTTAATAAAATACGATTCCATACATGTAAAATAATGTAAATACATATTTTTTGGCAAACAAAAAAAAAAGTTATTCGGTCAAGTGGCAAATTTTCAAACTTTGTAGGTGGAACGCGGACATAAAAATGTCGAGCACCGCTTGTATAATGTAGGTTAGATATTTCAACGTGGCAGCCACTCAATAGAAACATTTATGCAACGTATAGCTCATGGGTCATCGAATCTTTAAGAACAACTTTTGCCTTTTAATTTATATTTCTAAATTTCTTCTCATATTTATACCTGTGTATGTAAATACCTATGTACTACATTATTCAGTATCAAAAACAAAACACATAATAAATTAGGTAATTATCATTGCACTGTGAATTATTAAAATATTTGAGTAATATAAAATTATTAATGTTAAAACTATATCTTTGTAGTTGTACGCCACGAAGTTTGATACCATATCGATGTTGGTGTATTTCAATTAATAATCTGAACACACTTTTGGTACCTACAATTATGCGTATTTGCAATAACAGGAAACTAAGGTTATCTGACGAAATTTGCGGAAACCCGATTAGAAAAATAACGTCTGCACGACGTGTCCGTAATAATAATAACAATAATAGTAGGTATGTTATTATTTAAAGAACTCTGCATTGGCGAATAATAAACCGACTTGCCCCACCGCATTGGACCACTGTCAAACCGGTCAAAATAAAACCAGACGGGGCAAATCAAAATCAGTAGAATTTTGGTCTTGAATGGTGAAGTATTCGAGGGATAGATCGGTCTCTCCACTTAGCTGATCATTGTCAACTGTCTAGTATTGGATCGACTGTGCTTTTCTGTCTAGTTTATTCTTAAATTTTCATCACTGCGACAATCATCAGTAAGAAACATAATATTATGTTACTTAATACAATATTATTAATTAACCTGTTAGTTTTTATTAAGGTTCTTATATTTTACAGAACGTCTTATTCTTGATCAAGTTGGTACTTACCCGACGGTCATAATTTTTGTCACTACTTTTTGTAAATTTAATCAACTTATAAAATATACTTAAGATAACGTATACAATAAAATACATAATATATGAAACATAATAGATGATCTATATAAAAAAAAAGAACATTTCAACAAGTATAAAAATTGTTTTTGTACTAATAATTTATATACACGTAAATATAAAAAAACAGTATTAGAATATCATAATAACTTAACTTTATTTTTTCAGAATTATATTGATTGATAAATTAGGTATATCTAATTAATGTTTAAAATTCATACAACTAGACGGCTATATTAATGCAGCATCTTAGTCCAAATTAGTTTTTATAATATTGAGGTGTGAAAACTCAAAAGCAATAAAAAAAATGATTCTAAATATTACTTTATACTATGTTACAGAAATGCTGAAACTATTCTTTCTATTTTTCGTAATCTGTGAGTACTATTTTATTAAAATATGTCAGTACCTTATTATTATTTTTATAAAACCAAAACACAACCAAATGATATGGTCGAATTTGGAATTTGTAAATAATATAATATATACATATATATTTTTTTTTTTAAATAATATATATTGTTATGTTATGTTATTATACATGTTACACTTTCTTTATAAAACTTATATTAATAAATCTATATTTTCTTTCTCGTTCCACAGCTACTTTCATAATGTTGGCGAAATCCGATTTTAAGATCGATTGGATCTGCGAAGAGACTAATGCAATGGGCAACTGCAGTACAGTACCAAAGATTACAGACTGGCTCGAAGTTCTTGCCGCTAATATTGATACTAACGAATATACAGACTTCAACTATTGCCCGTCAGTATATTATAGAATACAGTAATAAGAATAATAGTATAGTATAAAGTGTACAAAGATGGACAGTTTGTTGAACAACATTAACTCAAGTTAGTTAAGTCAAACCAACCTAAAAAGTTTTTAAGTTATAATATGTTAGTAGTTACTAGTTAGATTAATTTAAATATCATGTAAATATCCAGTGAAGGTGGTTAACATTTCCGATGATATGTTTTAATAGTATTACTTCAAGTAACTTCGGGGTTGTAGCAAAGAACGGAGTGATATTTTAAAACTATTTTTAAATTAAACGATGTTTATAATTTATATACGTCATTATTACGTTGACGATGATTTACGCGTATCGCAAAATATATGCATATGATATAGGTATCACTGTAGGTTATTGTAGAAGCATCAATATATGTAACTTTTATTGCAGTATTTGAGTAGGCATTGTGGCCCCAGGGTTGATTCGTATATATACCGATAATATATTATAATAAATTAAGAATGATTGTGTGTCCATATCACAATATACAATTCATTTAAAAAGTAGTTATATTTAATAGTTCGTCATTTAAAATGTAGCCGTTATAGCTGCATTTGTTTAGCAGTGGCGTGTGGCCAAGTTATTAAAACAAGTTTGATGTACCTTCTATGCTGGAGGTGAACGAATCATTTTGACTCGTCTTTGCTTTGCAGTGTCGGTGATTTGTACAGTATAATTCCATAGTAATCCCAATTATAATACTAATGTAGTATCCATCTACGTACTTTGTTATCTAATTTAATGCACCGATACCATTGTTAATCGGTTTTTTCGTGATTCCTATTTGTCAAACACAGATTCGAAATCGTGGAACGGCACTCCAGGTGTATGAAGTCGTACGTGGAAAGTTGTTATCAGTATGAAACCTATAGAGAACGACATACCTTCAGCGTGTATACGTCACCAGCTGTAGAGAGCGCAAAAAATATCTGCACCAAAGGCCGGGCTTACAAGAAAGGTTAGTTTACATTGCAAAATGTTCATAGATAGTATGAGAATAAAATAGAAAAACTCGAAAATATTAGTCATTAATATTATGTTGAAAATTATGTACAGTTATAATATGCAATATCTGAGCAGTGTGATGTCATCATAGGTGGAGATTTGTTTGCATTTTAGGGGATGCTTAAATCTTTCTTTACAAAATAAGAAGTGGAGGATTTGAAAAATGTTCAATAATTTTGGGAGGCTTTCGATATTTTTGAGGGGCTAATATCACCCTCACAAGCCCTTCCGACTCTGGCCTTTAGTTCTTGTAGTACTTAAACTAGGTATATAATAGTTTATGTTAGAAATGATATATGCTAGGCAGATGAGTTATTCTTAATATTTGATATTTATATACTTCCGTTCAACTTTTATCGTTCTATTTATTGACAATGAATATAGTTTTCGGTCTATAGTCGTAATCATATATTAAAAAGGTTAAAGTAACCAACTTTACTATAGTTGTACGCATTTCACTGATGGAAAAAGTAGATAATCATTATTGGTAGCTAACTAAACTCATTTTACAACAGTTCCATCGTTGGTCAAATATGTGTAGCTATATATTATATGAGTAAAGCGGTCACGCTTTACAAAAATAATTCGTCGATTTGTATAATATTTCAGCTGTATACTAATGAGATAAAAAAAAAAATATGATAAACAGTCTGTAGCCCCTCCGTAGATCTTTTGCTCATAGACCGGCCCAATCTATAGCGAAACCATTGATAGTCACTTGCGTCATGGCGCAGTGATGCAGCCAGTTTAGTATCAATATATAGGTATATATATATAGGAAGAACATATGTGATATAAAACATATAATATATATGCATGTATGTATATACACATTTGTACCGTATCGGAGTAACTGAGTAACCGAAAAGCGCCACCTATTTCGACAAGGTGGAAACTTGAAGGGGGCCAGTCTATTGGTAAAATGTCTATATGAGCCCACCATATGCGATACTACCTTATCATAAGTGCTCGATAATATTTAATTAAATCGTTATCAGAATTTAACATGTACACATCATGCACGAAATCAATATTCCATAATGACTACAACGATCCATGGAATGTTCATCAGATAAATCAAGAAGTGGAATTCGGGCTAATACCAAAGCAAATGGACTTATTCGAGAAATGCGAGTGAGTTTTGGTTAATCGTATACTCTTATAATGCAATATTAATATGACACTCATATATTGTGATAATGTGATGCTCAATCGATATTTTTACCGTAACATATTTTGCTGTTGATTTATTGAGATTGTTTTTTGGCAGCATGTATCGCAAGTATTGGGATACGCAGAACTCGTGGATTCGTAAGAAATGCGGAATGAAGACCTCAAAGTTTTCCCGCCAAGTGCTCAGCCACATGTGGCCCTTAATGGCATTGATGGTCAGTATACCAATACCTATGCCATTAATAATCATAATAATTTTTATTGTAGTTAAGTACATCGATACATCCGAATTCATTGTTTTCAAACCCTATAATTTAAATAACATTAAATGGGATGTAATCAGAATGAGCACAATTCACCTTTTTTACTATCCGATTGAGCACAGATGCAATCAGACAATAGAAATCCAAAATACGACACTGTTGAGCACAGAAATACGTACAACGTTGCCGTTCTTACTATTTATAAATATTAAAATATGCGGGAAAATTTTTTTTTTACTTACTTAACACAATATTATATTATCATTTTTGTTCTTAAAATTGTGGACATGCCGCGCTGATGAGGGGCTATACATAACTGCAATTCAACCTCCTTATAGTGGTGGTAGAATTGCTAGTATAATTGGTAGGAGATGTGCAATAATTCAATTTTATGCATCCTATATATCCTATACCTGGTTTGCCCGATTAATAATCACTGCCAACCATTAACAAATAAAAATACCAATTTCTACTAAATACATTTGTATTTCTCCTACAACCAATATATTTAATAATTATACCATTATAATATAATAATATATTACTATGTATCCAAAAATTATTGATAAAAATATAGTCTTAAGACCATGAATCATATGTATTTATATATTATACCTAATAATAATTAAACCTACACAATAATAATTTAAAGCTATCTGTATGTAATTATAATATATCTATATATATAAAAATGGAGCTAAAAATGTATAGCAATTCATCAATTAAGAATTATATATTATTTATTATTATTTTTTTTTTAAAATTATTTACAAATGTCATAAAGATATTTATGTATCATAAATAAATCACGCATTTTAAAGTGGTATCCCTAAACACTTATTGCGTACTTAAAATAAATATTTCAGTAAAATATTTGAAGTAGATATAAAACGAGGTAGAAAAATTGGCAAAATTGCATTCGTTTGACTGAGCTCAATCGGGTTGTTAAAAATATGGATAGTGCTCAATCGGTTTTCACCGATTAAATTTATAGTATATGACGTTATTGCGTATAGTGTATAATTTGTATTTATATATATATAAACAATATTATCTATCCAAATGAAAAGTGGGCCCCACCAATTTTCAACATTCGGTTCGATGTTAGCAGTGTTCTAAAATTATAATAAGTGCATTAAAGCGGTGTTCTTTTTTACTAATATTGTTTATATAATTTATCTTTATCAAGAAAGCTTTATACTTATGTAATGCTATTATGGATATATAGCTGGATGGTATATTATACGATAGACATTATTGTTTGTACCCATCTTGAGGAGGATTATCGATGATTTCGTTTAATTGCGTGGAGCACTGATTTTTTTTTATTAAAATTGTTTTATTTCAATGCTATATCATAATATAACACTTGATGACTCAATGCTTATAGTTTAAACCATCAAAAAAGATTCATGCAAATATGGTAAATAAATCCAAAAAATATTAAAATAAACGCTTATGTCTTAAAACAATTAAGCATGACATTATGAAATACACAAAATTCATAATCATCGTATTGATCATAACCCTAGTACTTAATAACTGTTTTAAACCAACGTTTTATTTCATTGCAGAGACGATGTGGTGAGGAGCTAACAATAGGAGGATATATGTGATCAGGAATGACGGCTCTGAACCACTGCTTTTCAAATTTATAATATAATTTATTGCATAATCGCTTATGAATTTACTTTTATCGATTATTAACTCCAATTTAATTGTAATTTTTTTTTTCATTTTATAAAATAATATAATGCACTTGAATACCATATACTGACTAAGATATATTATTATTATTTTGATTACATTGTAAATTAGATAAATATTTATTGTGATCAATCCAACGATCATAATCAGTTGGTAATAATTTCCTACTTATAACGAATCATAATGAATCGATGTAAATATGTAATAATCTAATAAGATGCAATTAGGTGACTTTTTTAAAGTTAAACACTCATTCTATTAAAAAAAAACTAACGTTTTGTCTAACATTTTAACATAATTAATACATAATTTAAAAAAATAAAAAACGAATTTTTTTGTAGGTCAACATACATTTTTATTTGTTTATATTAATGTATAACATTTGGCACAGGGATACCATGCAAAAATGTTAATTCACTGCTATCCTCATATTTAAGTAGCTCTAAGTTACAATTAAGTAACTATTAGTTCAAAGTATGATTTTTGTACATGTTATTACAATTCTAAAAAACGTTATGTTAAGGAGTATGAAAATAAAAATGTATGGTGCTATTTAGTAAAAAAAGTAATTCATTTTGAAGATACAAATATACATTTTTTAATAAGATTGATAAATAGGATTCTGAAGTTGTAGGAGTTACATATTATTTTATAAGTTTACGATTTATACAGCAGACCAAGTTAGAAATCTGATCTATAAAATAATGAGTTTAACAACAAAAAAATGTACATGCATATTTTCCCTATTTTAGCTTCTATAACATCCGAGTTATATTAATAAAACTTAGGCAGTTGTGTGCCGATGATTTAATGAACCATATTTTTTTAGACCTATATTTGAAACACGTCATTGAAATTAGGAGCATTTTTTATACCCCACCGTTACCAAATAATGACATATTTTTGTTATGTTTTTCGATACCATTGCATATTTAACTTATAAAACAATTAGTAGAAATTAAGATTAGGTTTCCAATTAAAAACTTTAAACATAACTTAGTTTTAAATTGAGTAAATATCATACGATTTTAATGGTGCTAAATGAAAAACTGACCCTAATAGCTGATATGTTAATAATATTATTAATGCAGATCATAATTGTATCATAATTAAACCTTAACTTCTCAAATATAATCAGATTTGTTATTAGAAAATTACAAGATAGTTGGCTATAGACAAGTATTTCTGTTTAGTACAATTGGATAGTCAATGGCGATTCTTGAAAAAATGTCCGAAAAAAAATGCCAGAGGTAAAATTGCCCTAAAGAAAAATTGCCCAAATTGTTTAGAATTAAAAATAGGATAAATATCTTAAGATTAAATATATTATTGTGACTACATATAATACACATAACTAAAAACGTATTTACAACATTGATTATAGTTTAAAATATAGACAATTAATTTTTACTTTTTTTAAAAATCATATAATAACTATCATTAAAAACTAACATTTCAAAAAATGTTCAATATTTCATTTTTTCAGACATTTTTTTAGACTACCGCTGGCAACAACTTTGTAAATGTAAAAATTAAGTTTTTAACTATCGCTGTATAAGAAAATATTATTTCACTTAGCTCATTTGACATTTTAATAAACGTCAATAAAATTTTACTTAATAAACGTATACATGTTACGTGTATATTAGTTTTGTATATGTTATAAGAAATAAATATTGACATTTTACCATCGAAATCCACGATCAAAGTGAAACACTCAAATATCGGATAAATGAACATGTTGTAGGTAATTTGCCTATCCATATCGCCGTGTGTTGAAAATTGTATTACAGTAAAGTGTACATTTATAAATAATAATACTTCAAGAAAAACCGTTAAACTAATTCATAAATTGTATTAGATAAGAACATCTGTTTGCATACTTTTAGTTGCATGTTTACCTATGTTGGTACACATTATGAAGTAGATAATTTTTTGCTATAATGCATTAAATGATAAAAAGAAAACAATTATAAAAAACAGTTTGTTCATAATATACAATGTACAAGTTAAACAACTATAATCACAAGATATATTATTGTTACCGTACTCGCAAAAAACATTTATACTTCGATTTATGTTTATGGATTATAAAAAAAAAGGTGGAAAATAAATAAATAAATAATAATAATTTATTGGCCATATGTAGTTACATTATATAGTTTTAATAAAAAAATTGCGCATAATGGCCCAACTCACCATTGAGGAAAACCTCTTATTGGTGAAATTGGAGAACTAATAAAAATCTTAAGTAATTAAAATAATATAAACATTAAAAGAAAAAGTATTAAAAATTAATATGGAAAACAAAAAAATATATACATATGTATAAGTAAATAAATCAATATTGTAATAATTTAATTAAAGTTAATACTATATTCACATCATAATATGACTTTAAATATTTATAGGTTATGAATAGATTAACCAAATTTTAACATACTTTTCGTATTGTTTATAGGATTTGCAATTTATGATGTGCAATGGTAAAATCAACCATTGACTTAGTTTATTTAAAATTACAATACGGCTATTTATTATTACTTAGGAGTTTAGGACTGTACATAGAATAGATATTCCAATGTCGCAGCTACACAATTTAAACATCTATGCAATTAGTTTATTTGGTTAAAATGTATAATATAATAATATTAGGCTTACAAAAATATATTTTAAAAGAAATGTAATAAATATTATCAATATTAAATGACATTCAATGAATTCGTTTGATCCACGACAAACCTAAAAATAAATTTGACTTTGATATAGTCTAAAATAGAAAGATTTTCATTGTGCTCTAAATGGTATATAACAAATAAAATCTAATAAATTACAACCTTAAAATGACTACGTGCTAATGATCACGCGATGTTGATCATTTTTTAAACTAAATAATTAATATATTTATTGATAACCATTGGCGAAACTAGAATATTTTATTAGGACAAACCCAATGATTAAAATGAAAAAAATTCTTATTACGAAATATGTTTTCTATTTAAATTTTAAGTTTTATTAAGTCAGTATATTAGTTAGTATTAGGTCAGGATGTGACTGGCCTGACCCGTAGATTCGCCCAAGTTGATAACGTTTTAATATGTAACAAGAAGTAAAGTTGCATATATTTTTACAATATACAGGGTGATTTTTAAGCATGCCCATCCTATTTGTATGCTTAAATTATGCATAGATTAAAATTTAGGTTTTTGGAATTTTTAAGTACACTTGAAGCCATTTTTCGAATCACTGGAAATTGTTGTACCACTTAAGGACGGCCCCGTAACACTACAAACTTCATTTTTTCAAATAGGAACCTCATTTTTAATTATTGAGCCGATACTTTGTAAAAGAATTTTGATGTATCTAAATCAAAATTCATGCTAGTATTTTTTGAGTTATGTAACTTAGTGTCTTAAGGATATAGTAGCTTATGGTATCGGGTAAGTAATAGAGGGCTTAGACGATTTAAAAAAGTTAGCAATTACTTATATAGTTATATTGATTTATCAACATGAATAATTTATAACAATGATCCCACTAATATAACAATTAATTCTACATCTAACATTACACTTAGTTTTTATTTTTACCAAACAATTTCAAGGATTATTATTCTTAGCGTAAACACTTATACAACTCAGAAATTACTCATAAGATTTTTGATTTAGATGTCAACATTTTCAAATAATTTTCAATAAAAAAGGGAAGTTCTCGTTTGAAAAATAGAAGTTTGTATAGTCACAGGATACTATTTAAGTAGTACAAAAAATATCAGAAATCTGAAAATATGGTCATTAGGTCTACTTAAAAATTTAAAAATCAGAATTTGAACAAATGTTCTAGTGAAGGGGAAAATGGGGATAAACACGATGAAAAAAAATCACCCTGTACAGTATACTAGCTGATCCCGTGCACACCATTGCCCGTTAAAAATGAGAACTCTATATGATTCAAACTCGTTTGTGAATGATGAAATCAGAATTATTATTATTTAATATTTATCAATTTATTTTTTTCTAATTTTATTTTACTGAACAGTCGATGCAGTTTATTCGTATTTTATCTCTCGATATTTCGTGGAAGTTGAGTTTATACAACTATGTTTTAAACATGGTCCGCAAAATACTCAATCATTTAAAAAAACCGCATGCTATCGGATGAGTGGTTACAGAGAAAATGCATGACAAAATTTAAATTTTTACATTTATATATTTGTATAATATGGAAATAATATTTATTTTATTTCAACTATTTGGTGTCAGATTTCAGACTTTTCTGTTGTATTTTCCTAAAATTGTCTGACATCTAAACCCTGTCGCTTCTTTAATTGCGGACACCACGAAAAAAAATCAGAAAAATCGATAAACCCGTTTCGGAGTTTATTCTGAAGAAAAAAAGAGACTTCATATTCTATATATATGTATTAAAACCTAAGATATATTTTGTCGTAACTATTATTGTTACTTGTGATGTTGACAAAAAAACAATTAATATGAATTCGAATACAATAGTATAGTTTCTCAAGGTACATATAATATTGTATAATATTATGTTTTTATTGTCCTAATAGTTACTAGGCATTCATTTTTGATTCAAATATCTGTCATGTTATGCTACTTTTACTGATGTTAAAATATAAGGCCACATAAAAATACAAATTATACTGATTGTATTTTGTGCGATTTTCTAGGCCTTAGAGTCCAGGGGTACATTGCTTCCTCGTCTAAACATCGGTCTGTCCAGACATCTAGAGACATCCACTATTTTGTCGTCCCAACTTGATTTGCTATATTTTTATAATATTAGTTCTTGTTAATTTTTAAAGCGTTTTATAGTCTGTATGGTTACTATTAAAAGGTTTTACACTATATGTTTCAAAAGCATTTATATTTGGAAAACGTTTCTTTTCTTAATTTGGTTTTACATTTTTTTCCTAATAAAAAAATACCTATGTATTATTTTATTGAATATCGAAGATTATTATATAGATTATAATTATCAGTAAATGATGAAATATTAAAATATTTAAGTAATATACAATTATTAATGTTAAAATTATCTCTCTTTTTAGTTGTACGCCACAGAGATTGATATCATATCGATGTTCATATTTTTCAATCAATTATCTTAACACACTTTCGGTACCTATTACTATATTATATATACTTGCAATAACAGGAAACTGAGGTTATCTGACGAAATTTGCGAAAACCCGATTAGAAAAATACGTCCGTACGACGTGTTTATTCGAAATAGTAATACCAAGACAGATTGGGGTGGGGCCAATTAGACTGCTGTCAAGACAGTCGGGGCAAACCAAAATCACTCGAATCATTCTGGTTGTGAGCACTCGAGAGATACATTGGTCACTCTACTTTGGTAATTATCAAGTATTAGATCAATTGCGATTTACTAGAGCAATTGTTTGTTCTTACATTTTTTTTTTATAAATATCTATCCGATTTTGCACATCATTTTTTTAATAATAGTTTTTTATTCAGCAGATAATTATTTACATCTATTGCAGATCACCGCAGCAATCATCAGTAAGAAACATAATAATTTGTTACCTATTAATACAATTATTCTTTTACCTGTCAATATTATTATTTAAGTTATTATTTATTGAACGTCTTATAAAAATTTAAATAAAATGCAATAATTAAAAAAAAAACACTTTAACAAGGTTAAAAATTGTTTTTAGACTATAGTAATTTATGCAAAAATATTACAATATTATAAAATATAATAATTATACTTTATATTTTTGAAACTATATCGATTGATAAATTAGGTATAAATAAGGTTTAGAGATTTATATAACTCAATGGCTATATTAATGCAGCATCATAGTCCAAATTATTTTTATTTATTTTATTTTCACATTGAGGTGTGAAAACCTATAAGTGATAAAAAATTTTTTTTTTAATATTACTATATTCTATGTTACAGAAATGCTGAAACTATTCTTCATAATCTGTGAGTACTATTTTTTTAAAATATACCTATCAATATCTTACTATTATTTTTATAGAACCATAATACAACCATATATGATCGAGTTTGGGCTTCGTCTCTTTTGTTATCCTTTGCGTCCATAATGTTATGTTATTATATTTGTTATAGGTACACCGATTTTTCTTCCCTTTACCACAGCTGCTCTGATGATTTTGACGAAATCCCAGGTTGAGATAGATTGGATGTGCCATGAGACCAATTCATGGGGCAACTGCAGTACCTTACCAAAGATTACAGACTGGCTCCAAACTATTTCTGATAAAATTGATAGTGACGAATATACAGACATCGACTATTGCCCGTCAGTATATTATCGAAAACAGTAATAAGAATAATAGTAAAGTATTAAGTGTCCAAAGGTGGACAAGTTTTCGAACAAAACTAACACTCGAGTTAGTTAAGTTAAATCAACCTTAAAAATTGTAAGGTTAATGAAAGTAGTTAGATTAATGTAAATATCTAGAGGTATTAGAGGTGTATTTACAGAAGTATTAATTATTAGTGGAAAATTTGTTGGTATGTTTTATTAATTATTAGCAGTACTTACTGAGCGTAAGGTTATATTAGAGAAGCGAGAATCGAGTAAAATTTTATTTAAATAGTGTTTAAATAAGACAGATAAAAAAATAGATGTTTAAATAGGTCATTACGATGATTAATGGGTATCGCAAAATATATAAAAATGATATAGCTATAACTACAGGTAACTGTAGAAGCATCAATATGTAAGTTGTATTGCAGTATTTCGGTAGGTAATAACTGCAGGGTTGCTTCGTATATACAAATAATATAATATCATTATAAATAAATAAATAATAGTGAATGTCCATTGTCCATAGTCCACAACTTTGTACAATTCATTTAAAAAGTGGTTATATTTAATAGTTCGTCATTATAAAATGTAATCGTGTTACAGCAGTGGTATATTGTGGCCAAGTTATTATATTTTGACTTTATCATCTGTGCTTTGTGGCGTCCTCGATTTTTGTAACATAATTCCATAGCAATACCTATTTTAATAATTATTTATACCTATTCACCTAGTTATCTAATTTGATGCACCGATATTATTGTTAATTGGTCTCTTTGTGTTTCCGATTTGTCGAACACAGTTTCGAGATCGTGGAACGGCACGCCAGGTGTATGGGGTTGTTCTTGGAAACTTGTCAACAGTATCTGCCGGAATCAAAGCAACATTTTGCCTCCTCGTTTATGCCACGTACTGAAGAGACCGCAGAGACTCACTGCGTCAAAGGCCGGCCTTACAAGAACGGTTAGTTAGCACATTAAAAAAAAAAAATACATAGGTGATGTAAGAATATAGTGGAACAATATTCGAAAATATTTATCTTTTATAATATTATCATATCGTAGTACAGACATTTTGAAAATTATGTACAGCAATAATAATATTCAATATTGCAGCAGTATGTATTGCCGTCGTTCTTAAGCTATTTGACTAATCGACTGTGAGTAGTTGTTCTCAAACAAGGTATATAGCTTTAGCGTAATAGTTGTTCGGTCGAATTATTAACTTTACTATATTACAGTTATACGCAGATTACACGGATGGAATAAGTTATTAATAAGTTGTTTTCAATTATTTGAATTATTAGCTACCAATTATGATTGGTAGCTAACTAAACCAACTCTTTTTACAACAGGCCGATCGAACGGTTCTATCGTTGGTCCAATATAATGTGTAACTGTATTATAGCAAAGGTCACATTGCATAAAAAATTAAAAATAATTCGTCGACGGTGTTTTTTTATAATATTTTCGTTGTATACTTACGATAAAAAAATACGATAAGCAGTTTGCAGCACATCTATTTTACACCTAATTACTCACAGACCGGCACATCCTATACCAAATACATCGATAGTCACTTGCCGACATGGCGCAGTGATGCAACCCGTTTAGTATAAAATATTTAGTATGAATATATCAAGTATGAACCAGTGAACCACTTATTTGAGAAACGACGTAAGTTCATAGAAGATAATTCTGAAAGAACAAAAAAAACTGTTTTTATCTGTTGTCTATGGTTATTTCTCTTTCATACTGATTATTTACGGTGGTAAAAATAAATATTTTTATCGGAAATGTTCACTCATAATCCGTGTGTCATTTGGTAACACATTTCACTCAATATCTCAGTTCGTGATATTTTGTGATTTACGTCGTTTCTCAAATAGGCGGTTCATATATTATATATATGAACATTTTTTACGGTATCAGAGTAACTGAGTCACCGAGAAGATCCACCGATCTCGACAAGGTGGACACTTTAAGGTGGTCGTTCTGTCAGTAAAATGTCTATATGAGCCCATCTTGTCCAATATTACCTAATCAGCGGGAATGCTCAGTAAAATTTAATTAAATCGTTATCTGCAGAATTCAGAGCACACACTGCTTGCACCAAATTAATGTTCGATTCTGACAATCAATGGCGTACTCATGAGGTAAATCAAGAGGTAGAATTTGGGCTAATACCAATGGACACGGACTTCTACGAGAAATGCTAGTGAGTTGTAGACTACTGTATAGGTACTCTTGGAATATTAAATTAATGTAATACTAGTGATGGACATTGTTTTGTCTTGCCCAGTCGATACTTTTTACTTTAACGTATTCTGTTGATTTACGGAGATTAATTATTTTTGACAGCATTTATCGCAAGTATTGGCAAATGCAGAACTCGTGGATTCGTGAAAAATGCGGAATGAGGACCGAAAAGTTTTCCCGCCAAGTGCTCAGCAACATGTGGCCCATAATGGGATTGTTGGTCAGTATATTATTAAACGTACCTATTATACCCATTGTCAGTAATAATAAGTTTTATTAAATACGTACGTCCAAATTCATTGTTTTACAATCGTACCTATATTACATTATACCTAGGTATATTAAATGTATATTATAATATGACGTCAATGTATATGTTAATTAATACATTTTTTATCTTCCTAAATTCCAGAGCTGAAAAAATGACCTATTTTAAACATTCGGTTTGATCTCTGCAGTGCTCTATAATAAAAAGCTTAATAAAATTATGTGAATTCGAGATCACACATTGTATGAAAATTTGATTTGTTTTTTACTATTATTGATTATATCATTTAATCTTTATTAAGAAATCACTATTAATAGCTGTTATAAGCTATTATATTGGTAGAGCTGGATGATTATATTATACAATAAACATTATTGTTTGAGTTCATAATTTCGTTTAATTATATTATGGAACACGAATTTCTTCGACTGGTCAAAGGAAGTCGGCCGAAAGGTCATTGTAAGTCGGTTAGATGCGAGTTATGCCTATTTTGGGTTTACCCTTCTTCTTGTTAGCCAAATTGTTTTAACAGTTGTACACATTGTGCAGAGATTTTAATTATACACCACAATATTGTTTTATTTCAATGGTATATTATCATATTATAACACACATCATTTTGCAATATTTTAATTAGTACGATAGCAGTGTTAAATGATAAGCTGCAGTATGCTATATGGTTAAGATGTTTATGACCTTAAAATCTCTAAAAAAAATAATCTATGCAAATATATCTAACAAATATTTAAAAAAGCGCCTTAAAACAATGAAATGCACAATATTCATAATCATCCTATTGATCATAACCCTAGCACGTAATAACCATTATAAACCAACGTTTTATTTCATTGCAGAAACTATGCGGCGAGCAACTTTCAACATATGGATATTTAGAATGATGAAAGATGGCTTCAAACCACTGTTCTTCAAATTTTTAGAATTGTCTTATAGCTTATTAATTTACGTTTACGAATTATTAACACAAATTTAATTGTAATTTCATTTCCAATTTATTTTTTTTCCATTTTATAAAATAATATAATACTCTTTAAAACATATTAAGATTTATTATTATTTTAATTACGTTGTAGAATTAGATAAATATATATTATTGTGGGTAATGTTAATCCAACAATCATAATTTGTTAGTAATTGCCTAGGCACCTTAAATGAACCATGATGAATCGTTGTAATAATCTATTGATATGCAATTAAATGATTCTTTTAAAGTTTAATACTTATTTGCTTGAAAAATACAAACTTTTTTTGTCATATTTAAAACTAACTAAATGATTAATAATATATAGTTTTAAATAATGAAAGAACAACATTTTTTTTTTTTAATGACAACATACATTTTTATTTGTTTATTTCAATGTATATTATATTTGACACATGGATACCTTGGAAAATGTCAATTCAGTGTTCTGCTCATAACTTAAGTAGCTATATTCATTCGAAAGACGACTTTTACATGCCATGTTATTACGGTTCTATGAAATTTTATGATTAGGAATATAAAACTGAAAATGTATGTTGTTATTAAAAATTATTTAATCGTTATGAAAAGAAAATATTAAAAAATTATTTTTTAATACGAATTATAGCACTAATTTAGGTATACAAATTAGTGTGTCGAAGTTAAAATAATTGAAAGAACCACATTTATTGAGACCAATATTTGAAATACCATTAAAATTAAGATCATTTTTATACTTAACCGTTACCAAATACTTTTATTTTTTTTATGTTTTTCGAGATAGATGCATATTGGGTTTACTAAACGATAAGTAGAAATTGGGATTAACACCTGCTGCGGGTTTCTAATTAAAAACTTTATATGTTATGATAGTTTTAAATTGAGTAAATATCGTACTCCGTATGATTTTATGGGTGCTGATACATGTACTGTTCCGAACGACCGATAATAATACATATTGTAGGTAATTTGCCTATCCATATCGCCGTGTCTTGAATATTGTAATACTGAAAGTGAAACACTATACATAAAAATAAACAATTTTACTCCGTTAGAAATTTTTATATCAATTCTTAACTGTGCTATACTAAAAATTAGTTGGCATACTTTCAGTTTTACGTGATACTATTTATTACAAAATATAACGTTTTACTAAATAATACGATTAATACGTAATAGCTGATTAAAAAATAGGTTTATTAAAAAAATGTATTGGTTCATAATATTGTACAATACACAATTCTAACCATAAAATATATTATTGTTGTTAAATTCGTGATAAAAAAATTTCTATTCGATTTATGAATATGTATTAGAAGTAAAGAGTTTATTTATTGTCTTTGATCCTCTATATATCATATAAAATATGGATAGTAATCATTGACTGGGTTCATTTGAGCTGATGTTTTTTCTTCACTTGTACCTAACTGCAATTTTATATTAGATGGATATTCTAACGTTCCATCGAATCTTCAAGAAAAACTTAAGGCTATAAATCAATAATATTATCGATTGGCGTTTAAACCACGTATACCAGATACCTAATATTATGGTACATAAGTGTATAATTTGGTACTCGCGGTACCGTTTCGCTCCATACTTGTCATTACTGTGAATTTTCTTGCCATTTTTCCTCAGGGTCTCAGGTTTTGTTTGTTATATATTATGTATTTACATGCGCAGCTGGTGTTACAATTGTTTAATAATATATAGTACGCTCTGTCGTGATATATATACGTTATGAACGATTTTGTTTTTTCTTTCTATTCGAACCGAATCGTGACGCGAGACGTAAACGTTTTGGAAATGATATGCTCGCTGTTGCTGCAGATGTGCCGATCGAGTAATACGTACCTATACACGTGCGCATAATATATATGTATGTATATTATAATGGATAGGTACCTCTATATGGATATTGTATAATATATTGAGCCTGTGGTGAGCATACAATATATTATATTATACTAAACTATTAAAGCCTCATACTGTATTACTTTTTTTTCTACATAATATATCGCAACCGAATTCTTCAATATTTAAATCGAATAAACGTCAACGGCTGCAGCGCGTATGAAATATTATTTTTACGTATATACTCCATATTATATCAATGTATCACAATTCGTGATGTGTGTGTGTGGTACTTATATGGTTCTCTGTACAGGGCGATTCACCATGCACAGGCCACATTTTTCTCATTAAACAATTATAATAAATTGTTCGAATATTATAATTTTTGGAATCTGTACGAAATTTAATACAATAGTGTTTTCCGTCGATATACATTTTTAACGAATGTGAACTGTATTTTTCAATAGTATAAATTGTAAAGAAGATAGATTTTTGTTGAAAATATTGATGTACTTATATAAATTGAATATTTGAAAAATTAGTTTCTGAATAATAATGAAGCTTTGTATATTATAATAAACATATTCCATGGTAATATATAGTTTTAAAGATTTATGGACTATTATTATTTGAAAATTATGTTAAATAATATTTATATATATTGCCTACTATTTTGTATTAGAGACACATAGATATTGATAAGAAATGTATAATTAAGTGTATAATTAATACTGCCACTATACTTAATATTACATATAATAACTTAAAATAGTTTTTAAGGATTCTTTTCCTTAGTACGTTAAGTTGACTAAATTTTTTAAATCTTTAGACTTTATAGGTTAAGATGCATCAATATTCAACGTTTAAACAAAAGTAATCTGGTAACAATCACAGTATACAACGAGCGTTTATCACTTGTAAAATAAGTTTATATCACCCCATGTACTATTCTACTTAAAGTTTTTCAGCAAATGGTAATTCATCATTTATGGTAATACTGCTTAGGTTGCTTAATGACAATACTCATAAATAATATTAATAATTATAATATTGTAATAGGTGTATAATAAGTATATTTATCAATTTTTTTAAAAGAAAAACTCACAAATTCATTGGTTTGGAGTGTTCTTTATGTTAATATAATCACTCTGTATATTCGAATTTCTAAGAATTTACTTTTCAATTGATTACTTGCATAAATTTCCCATATAAAAATATACATATTTCCCTAAAATGAATATTTTATGTTTGCCATATATTATGATATATAATGTACACTCATAGTAAAGAATATGGTATGCCTAACAATTGCTACACATCAATAATTCTTATGTCCTTTTTCCAACAAAATATATTATTGTTATATAGAAAGCACTTAACAAATATAATTTTTACAAACAGTCCATTAAGTATCAAAAAACTACTGATATATATTATGATTACAGTAAAATTTAAAATCCAAAAATTACATTGCAATTTTATATGTTTTGTTACAGATTAAGTCTGAGATGTTGTAATAACTGGCCTATTATAATAGCAGTTGGGCACAAAATACAATTTTTACGAATTTTTAACTGCATGGCCGACAGGCGCCTGGTCGAAAACCACAGAGAGTATCAGGACCGTGATGTGTTGCGATAGTCTCAGTAGACTCGGTGGAGTCAGTATTGTCCGGTATTGTCCGATTCTGCAACACTAAGTCTTCACTGGCTCAGTGTCCAGGACTGGCAGTGAGAACGCTGTAGTGGTGACAAGTGGCCAACAACTTGAGTACTTTTTCATGTAATGCCATCATGTAGTACTACCACTTCACTTATGTGTCTAGTTTGATGTCTAATTTTTTTTTCATAGTATTGAAGTCTTATTTTTGGTTATATATTCTAAGGACAACTTTGAGACTCTTTTTTATTATTATTCATACCTATGTATTTTTTTCTAAATGTTGAACCCGGTTAAATAATAGTATTAAAATTTTTTTTTCCTTTTCTAAAATCTTACATTTGTCTTAACCACTTTTAACTACGTTTATTACAACAATACAATTACTGTGTGTCTATATACAACAAATTATTGTTTTTTTTTCGTATCGTCGAGTTCATTATGTAGTTAAAAATGTACATATTTTTCAAAAAAATAAGATTAATTTTAAGCTACTGCCAATTATTTTACCATGAACGACATCGGTATTGAATCAACAATTATATTATCAATAATATTTTATAATATAACATACACCACCTTTGAAAATCGCCGTTTTCTATCGTAAGCTATGAATTTAATAATAATAATAATTGTAATAATGGCGTGTGTACGACCATAGCGCAATTCGCACCGCGTGCATAATATCATGATAATATAACATTAAAATAAAATATCCAAGGAACGAAGAGATATACCATCTATGGCGCGTGACATTTCGTTAACTGAACATGGAAAATCAGATAATCGGATCGTACGATACATATTATATATTTTATTTTATTCAATCGAACACGATGCAGAATATTATTAGCTGTGGAGCGACGACTAAATTATAAACTCTGAACTATATAATATTTAATATTATATTATAATATATACACTCTCTCCACACATACGGCGGTATACATATTATACTTTATGAGCACGTCTATTATAATAATATTATGCACCTATTTGCATGCATTTAACATACGGTCAACTCGAATGTTTTTGGCGGCCCATATGATAGTATATGTACCTACTATGTTTAGTAACTGTTCTTTTACATAAGTATTAAAGTACATACGTGAAATCGATCGAAATCGAAAGAAATGACCGTTGGCGATCGTCGGACGCGCAGTCGTTTAACACACTTGCGTGTATTACATTATAATAATATAATATTTTTTTATTGTACTTTTTGTATTTATTGTATACATTACAACATTTACAACATAATATTAACCTTGGATTTCTTATATTATAAAATGCTTAATAGTTTCAGTTTAGTCGGCTCGGTCGTTTTCGGAGCGCCTCCAATCCAAAAATTAGATTTTCCTATATATATATAATATATATATAAGTAGAATAGGGAAGATTCAATGAGATCGCCGCCGCAGTTATCACGACTGCGATTTTCTATCGAGTACGATATTTTTTCGAAATTCGTCAACATTTTCGTTTTGATACCAGGTCTCTTCCGATGTTGACCCTTTTTGGGCTCCGTTTGTATTTAATTCGCGTTCCTCAAAAAGTCTTAAGTCTTTGCGTGTTCGGGTTTCGTTCGTTTAAAAAATTTGAAAAAAGATATTATGAAAAAAAAAATTTAAGTGCACTTTGAATAATTTGTATTCAGACGGTTCGTAAATATATAGGTGAGTAGGTTGTTAAAGTGTATTATACAGTATTGATGTTGACGATGTTGTATATTAAACACAATAT